ATGCCCCTTCATAACACCTTCAGCAACATTCTCTAACCTATTTTGAGTCTAAATAGATGTGCCATCCTCCTGTTCTTGATTATCATAATATCACACAGGGATGGCAGGTCGGGCAGCTCCTACGATGGGAGGTGCTCATCTTGTGCTGTTTGCACATGTGACACGTGCAAACCCCACGGGTGGGGACTGCCCCAACACTGCATCAGACTCCAACTAGAGTCCGATTTGTTTGACTATAGGCGATTAGTCATCATTGTGACCCCCCTTCCACGCATGCACCGGCTGTAGGCCCTGCAGTTCCAAAGCCGCCTGGCAGCGCATCACAGGAAATCTGGGGGCAAGCGGCGACGTCTTGTCCCTGCACGCGCAGAAGTGGCCAGACCCTCGCACTCCCCTGCCCCTCCCCATGCGCATCTGCTGTGAAACCTTCGCCAAGGCCCTTTCCCCCCATGTGAACACGCGCACACCCATGCGCACGCGGGTGGCGACGCCCACTCCCCGCAAGCGCACCTGACCCTAGCATCCCGCCCTCTCCCTCCCTGCCCCATGCGAATCCGCGGCGACACCCTCCCCCGCCCCACCCTTTATGCGCCGGCAGCACCGCTGCCCCTCCCCCCCCCCCCCAAATCTCACCGGCCCTCCCCCCCCTTCCCTTTCCCTCGTGCCCCTTGGGGTGCGTACCTTGGGCTTCTTGGTGAGAGTCCTCTTGGTGGACATGGCCCTCAGCATGCGGGGGCACGGCTTGAGGGCGTGCTTGTTGTGGCAGGCTATGGTCGTTGCTGCAGGGGGGGATCTCGCAAAATATATAGTAGACAACGTGTAACCAACAAAGGAGGATCTTCTGATTCGCAGGTTGAACACGTCACTTCGTTGCGGAGGGGCCTTTGGAGGTGTGGAGCCACTCGCGGACCTACGCCGTCAGCAGTCCCACCATGTCCCAGCCCAGGCCCCGTCCCAAGCTTCCATCCGCCGGACTCCAGGAATGCAGGCGGATGGCGGACAGGCGCATGGACGACAGCCGGGCCCCCGCCCAGCTCCCCGGGGGGCCCTGCCCCGAGTGGGTGGGCACCCCCTCGTGGGTGGTGAGCGGGGCCCCGCCAGAGGATGGGGCCGATGCAATGAGACTCGCGGCTCGGGCGCGGGAAGCGGGGCCGCGGGCGGCGGCGGTGAGGGCGGCAGCCGCGGCAGGCGGGGTTGGGGGCGTCGGTGGCGCCGCCACGGCATGCTTGCCGACGGGCGCGGTGGGACACGTGCGCATGGCGCCTAGGCTGGCCCATTCCACTGGCGATGCCCCGCCTGCGGGAGGCACGCCCTGCGCTATCGGCGGCGCTGCCAATGCCCCACGGCCGGCGCCCAAGAAGTGGAGGCATAGGGCCGGCCCCTCCCACGAGGCTTCTATGGCCTCCGGTCTGGCGGAGGTGGTGGCGCCATAGTGCGTTCCTTCACAGGAGGAGCATGCAGACGAGGGGTGAGAGGGGCTGAAAACGGAAGATAATGCTTAATTTTTTTTAATGTTCTTGATGTCTTTGCTCTGCTTCATTTCCTGTGTTTGCGCGCACGGCATGCGCAAAGGATGTAAACACGCGCAGTGCGCGCAAAAGGTAGAAGCGTGGTCCAATAGTGCCTTGCTAGCTTGATCCGTTTCTATTCGCATTTGTTCACCTTTCACTGTTTTATTGTTGTGGCATAGGGACTTTGTCACCCTAAAGATCCACGTCCCCTCTTAGGGGGACGTTTGGAGATGCGCGGGCCGGTGGGACGAGTGCGGGCGGACCATCCACCCGCCCTGCCCCTTGTTCAAGGCCGCCGCCACCCCTGCCGAGCTCGTGTTCGGCTGCAAGGATTGCTGGCTCAACAAGGGCCGGCGGTGCTGGGTGACGGCAGGCCCCCCCCACTGGCCCGGAGCCCCACGGCCCCATGGCCTTCGCTTGCACCGCCACCGCAATGGTGGGCCTGGCAGTGGGTGGGTCCACCCCTGCCTTAGGTTGGGGGCTGCCGGTGCCGCCGGGGCCGGCGGCGCCTGCGGAGGGTCCATGATCCCCCTCCGGCCGTGGTCAGTTCCCGGGGGCGGGTGGCATTGCGGTGGCAGGCGTGGCGGCGGATGCGAGGGTGGGCAAGGCGGTGGGCGACCGTGCCCCTCCGCGCGAAGGGGCGGTAGCGGGCACATTGGGCGGCGTGGTGGTGGTGGGGTTGGGCGACCCTCCATGGAGAGGTGCGGCGGAGCGGACGGCATGGTGGGGGTGCCGGTGGCGATGGCGGGTGGGGCAGTGGGTAGCAACGCTCAGATGGCGAGGACGTCAGCGGGGTCATCAGTGGTGGGATTGTCCGGGTGGGTGGGGGTGGGTGGGTGCGCATCCGGGGATGGATGGAGGAGGCGCCGGGTGAGGCACGGGGAGAGCGCAAGTCCCAGCCTTGGTGTTCTGCGGTCTGGCGGGCTTCCTGGGGGCAGGGGGCAGAGTGGTGGCCGGCGTGGCGGTAGAGCGGAGCAGTCGGCCAGCTGGTGGGGTGGTCGGCCCGAGGCGGGGCCGCGCCGGCGCCCGTGGGTAGCCCTGGTCTCTTGGAGACCTTCATCACGATCGTTCGGGCGCCCGGTCGCCCTCCCTCGGGGGGTTGGAGATCGCGGTGTAATGCTGACCAGCCTTGGCCTGCGCCAGCCCGCCTCATGGAGGCCGGGCAGCCTGGGTTATTACATTGGAGGACAAGAAGCCAGTCATGAACGAGGATCTGCTCGATGGAGGAGTGGAATTAGTCTCAGAAGTGTAAACAAAGGCAATATGATGGATAAATGTCGTCACGAGGTAACAGGAAGTCGGAGTCAGTCGAGAGAATGGGAACAATGTTAATATATTTCGAGGCTCTTCTTAAACTCGTAATCCATATGAAGATAGTGTCTCAAAGCAATCCCATCCCTCTTTCTTTAATACCTCCATCGCAATCATGCCAGCAATAATCTAAACTCACGTTTTGCCCCAAAAAACACATAACCGCAATGTTGCGTACAAGTGCACCCTTTCGGACCTTACCGGCATTTTGCTCGAAAGCTTGTTACATGTAAATGGTAAATGTGGTGTTTCTGTTATGGTGACATGTACATGGAGAAATGGGAGAAAACGGTGAATGAACATGTTTGCAGTGACAATTACTTAGCTAATACGTTCATCCTGTAACGCACTAGTTATGGCCTTGCCTCCTGCGCTTGGGGGGACCGATTGCAGGCCGAGCACGAGCGGTCAATACGATGAGCATAATAAGAATATGCTCGGGGCATAACACATTTGAATGTCAGCAGTCACCTTTTCCAAACATTGATCATTCGATCTCCGAAGGGATACATGGCGGGCAGCATCGTTGTGCTATTTTGCTAATACCAATGTCTGCACGCGATCTGAGCGAGTCCAATTCATGTAATTGAATCACTTCCGCGCAGATTCGGACTGCGATCATTGCTGGGGTGGATGAGGTTGGGGACGGAGCAGGGTGGGTGCGAGCTGACCAGAGTGGGACTGCTGGTAATGGGATTGGAAGGGGGCCTACCACTTGCCATCGGTTGTGAGTATGATGCCTTGATCCTTGCACAGCGCAGGTTGGATCATCGACAAGTGTTGAAAAAGGAGACAGAGGCAAGCCTTCATCGTAATAGCTTCGTTGAAGAGGGGAAGCGATGCTCGTGTTCCCGTTTTCCATGGTAACCCAGGACAACGCGTTCGGATTTCGAATTTTCAAATCATTCGAATATTATTCAAAGTTCCAAGAAGCGTGAAGTCATTGCTCCCAGTGGATAGGGCAGTTCGTAGGTGTCAAAGGCAAAATGGCGCTTGGGTACAGGGTGGCATTCTCTAAATGTCGCCTGTGGTTGCTGGATATATCAGTTGTCAATTCAGTGCACTGTTGCCAAATCTTTCCAGCTATGCCATTGCTATGTTATATAGCTACGTTGCATAGCTATATCTTTTCAGCAATGCCATTACTTTCTGGATGCCAAGGGTCATAGAGGTCACCGCAGCCCCCGCCATCAATGCGTGGACTCCAATGCTGCTGCGCTGAATTTTAATGGCAGGACAACACGGATCTTGCCAATTGTAGATGTACGGCGACAGTGACTGAGGACAGGGTTTGACCGCTTGTTGATGGATGGTGTAAGTGGACATGGAGGTGGCAAGCTGCTGTGGAACTACCGTTCGTGGCGACGAACGTGCAAGCTCGCGTCGAGAATGCCGCAAGTTGTGTGCGTTTACTCGCGTTAGAACCTTCTGTAGCCTAATTGGCGACCACACATGTGAAAATTTGATTAGCCTATGCATATGCAATATTACTGGTTGCATGGTTGTTCCCGGCAATACTTGCCCAGCACGGCTTCTACATTGGCAACAGCAATCGGAAGGATTTAGCAGCATCGGAGCGCATTTTGCTGCAGAATATTATCATCAATAATGAACAACAGCTCAATACAAGTAGTCCTCCAAACGGATATATACCTGAGGTATGTGTGGGCATCTTCTGTGCCACGTTGGTGGCAGCAGAGGGAAGACAACGCTGCTCAACCGACGACGCACTGTTGATGCTGGGATCCTCAACTTTGGACATCTGTCAAGCAGTCCTACAGGAGCAATTGATGGGAACATTCCCCACTGTAGTCAACATTCATTCGCTTCCAGAACCAGTGCCTTGGTTATGTTCGCATCAAGGCACCTTGATGGCGGCCACATCACTGAAAGCCCAGCGAGCATTATTGAAAGATTTCAAGAATCACAGCGTTCTGAAACAGCCCTTTGCACTCACTTCTGCGCCCATTCTTCCACCACAACCCTCTGCCACATGAACACCTCAGCTCATTGCCGGCTCACACACCCTCCTGTTTCTCATGCAGCATGATCAAGCAAACCACATCAGGCCGGACATCCAGAGCTTCCAACCAGCTCGCCACTTCAAGTGGCATCGAACCTCCCAAACAGTTCCCCCACCTCGCAGTCTTTGCAACGATCAGGGTGACTAAGGCTTCATCAGGTCGTGGCGACATTCTCCTTGGCCGGCTCGCACAAGCTGCAGGCCCTTCTGCAGTGCACCTTCATGTACGCTGAGTTCTTCTCACACTCGCCTGTGGACGCCCACTCCTCACACTGGTCCTCTGTGTCCACGCAGTCACCCCACTTGGCCCTCTGGTACAGGTTGTTTCGGCTGTTCAAAAGCACAAGGCAACACAAATCCTCTACTGCAACATTCCTCAAAACACAAAACGGTCCTGCCATTTGGGCAATGTAGAGTGCAACAGCTGCTTTCACTTGCGTTTGGTCCCTGGCATGCCTGACATGTTCCTGTTTCCCCCAGAACAGGAACAGGACCACAGCTGCACCCTCCCGGTACTGTAGCAGCACTGAAACAAACATGGGGACATGGAGGATCATCCGAGGGTGCAGGAGACGTTCTGGGAGACGGCCATCCACCGATTTCCAACTGGCATTGCTGTGACTCACTGGAATTGCTGTGTACGAAGCTGCTACACAGAGCTGCCATACAAACAACGGACCCCAATTCATCCATAATGCAGGTGCGCATCACCAGGTGGCAGCTGTTGTATCAACAACACAATGTCAGCATCGCACCAATGAATCAATTGTCAGACACAACTAATCTCGACTAAGGCTATCTGATGCTGGACTCATTGGCACAATGGGATACGCAGAAAATCACCAAAACATGTTGCAGGGGTGAAGTCACACTCACTTGAATGGCAAGACATGGATCCACTTTGTAGCTGACCACTTCTCCCCTTTGGTCGTTGGGCAGCTGCCGTGCAGACTTGTTTGGTCTTCGCTCCCATCAGGCTTAAGGCCGTAAAACATGATGGCGTCGCCTTTTTTCTGCAGAAGCAAAGTAACCTTTGTTCAGTGCATCACAGTGGTACAATCTTGGCATCGGACACACTAACGAGCTGCTACTGGTTTGTGCGTGCAAGAGGTTGTGTCGTGTGGGTGGGTGGGTGGTGGGCAGTGGGTGATGGGGTGGGTGGGTGGGTGGTGGGTGGAGGTGCTTGCCAGACATTCTGCCATGTCACCATTGCCCTCACAGCAACAGAGTGAGATCATAACTTGAAAATGATCAATGCCATGTCATTGCCACAGAGGGAGGGTTTAGCAACGGCACATAGGGTGGGGGCCCTGGGACCCCTTATCAACAATCCAGAATAAAAAACCACCGCAACACTCGTCATCTAACGAAGAACAAAGCTCCTGTCTCACCGCCTTCACAGCAAGGCCCCTCTTGGCACAGTCTGACCACTCTGGCCCCTCCACGTGTTCAGATTTAACTGCATTGGGAAACACCGTCTCACCACCCTCTGGCACAGTGCTCCTGTCACAACACAACAACCAACAACTGTCAGGTGGGCCTGCCCAATGTGCACATTCTACACTATAAAATGTGCATTGCATACACACAGCACACACAGCTCACGTAACACACAGTATTTAGCGCCGATGCAGCCAAATTGTGTTGGGATTATCTTAATAGCCTCTGCATGTGGGCAGTAGCGGAGAAGGATGGCCCTGTGCAAGCTTAATGCAGCACAAACGCCTTGAGCACTGTTTGACTTCAGAACACTTGTTAAAAAACTTTGTTGCTCTGAACAGCGCACATTGTACCACACAGTAAACTGCAGTTTACAGCTAGATACAAAGGTAGGATCTCAGCCCTTGAATCTAATGCAGCAACCGACACGGGCCAGCACAGTCCTCTTCGGTTTTGAACACTGGAAACCTTGGCTGAGTTTTGCAGGAGCTATACACAGGCTTCATAGATATGCCCTGCTGACTTGAAGTCTGTCTCAAGTACCCTTTGGCTAATTAGGGTCAACAAAGCATTATCACAGAGTACATAAAGTGCACCATAACAGGATGTGACATTCGCTGCAGGCCAACACATAATACTATGACAGTTCTTGATCTGCTTGAACCAAAATGATCGACCCAATCACCTATCAGAACATTGCCCTGAGCATGAAACATTTCCTGCCAATGAGCGAGCAGAGTGTTGTCTGGGGTGCCACACACGTACACAAAATGGCAGGAGGGTTCCTGGGGATCAAGCTGAAAAAATCCTCAAGCGATAAAATATCTCAAGTGTCTGTTGCATGCAACAACTTGAACAGAGTACACATTATCTCAATGACATCCCCTTAGATAATCAGGGGCTGGAATTCTGCACCAAGGCAACATCTCCCTAATCGTTTTAGATGCCCTGATCAACATTAATGATGCAAGCCGATTCTTTAACTTACACACAACAAAGCAGAACAAAGGACACCAGAGCTGGCAACACCCCACACCAAAATCAATGCACCATCCAAGAAGTCACAAACTGGAGATGCTTATTTAATGAACTGTTGCTTGCAGCACTCACAGGTACATCAGCATCGTCATAATCCTCTGGCCACCAGATTCCGGTTTCTGGTTGACCACATCATGGAAATAGTCGAAATGAGGTTCGTACTTCTCTCCATTCACATATTTGAGGATTTGCATGCCCTCCTGATGTTCTGCAACCCAGCACGCACAGGGACACAGAACGAAATTCAACACTGGTAAGGCATTGTTGCACGGGGACTGTCAGTGCAGGACAAAGCAAATGCCCTGGAAAGGTGGCCAATTTGTCGCTTTACTAGGAAGCGATTCTATGCCTGCACTGCTTGGAGCACAGTTGAAGACTGGTGTAGAGATGCACCAAATTTCTGAAAATTCCTGCACATTTCAAGACCTACAAAATAGCGGCCTGCTGCAGGTATATGCTGGCAACAACAGTCAAAATAAAGTCCATTTCCCCAAGCACCGGAAAACCAAACATAAGGTAAAGGCGCCTACTGCTACTGATTGATGCTTTTAGCTGATGGCAAAAGCCACTACTTTTGCAAACGCTGTCCCAGTCCCCAATCTCTGCATGCGCTTTTCTTGCTGCGCTCAAGACTTCTGCATCATCTTTGATACACAGAAACTCAAGGAGCTTGCTCAGCTTGCCCACTATCAGACAGATTCAATTTTATCTCCCTCTTGCCAGCCTCCTTGTTGCTGTGCTGCTGTGCATGGGGATTCTTACCCACAGGTATCATCGTGACCTGCGCCACTCTGTGTTCAATCCTGTCAACAACTTCATCCTGTGCAGTATTCAGGAATGTGCCTTTGCTGGTCCGCACTTGGCTGGGGATGCTCTTCCCAGATTCGTTGTCAACAACTGTTGACTTTGTGAGCTTTGGTGATCCCTGCATGCACAATGTCCTTGAAGAGTCATAACTCCCTCAGTCCTTGCCTGGCATGTGCAAGGGAAATTCTGCCATCCATTTCCACACATCAACAAACAGGCTGCCAAATAACTCCTGCACAGTTCATGCAGCTGACTGCTGCCATTTATTCTATACTCCAGTCTGGATTGACCTTTCAGAGGTCATTCAATAGAAATCAGGACATCGAGCTAAGCGAATTGTCCACACGGATTTGGGACAAAGGGAAGAAAGCTATCACATGTGTTGCCATGCCTTGCCACACCACAAGTGGTCCCTGGGCTGGAAATACATTGCAACTGGCCAGTCTTTGCTTCACAAAGACACCACTGGTGCACCCAACAGTTGCAATCAAGCCACAGTCTGAACTCGAGGTCCAAATCTGGCTCCCATTCAGACCCCTGCTCTTCCACCAAAGTGCCAATTGTGCCAGATGGGAGAATGAAGGCCAGGGAGTGCAGCAAACAGAAGCGTCTGGCCCATGAACAAAGGACACAACAATGATAGAAAGTAAGAGAAAATAGGAATGGACACTCACCAGGGCGATCAAGTGATCGCACTCCTCTTCGGTGAGGAAGCCCTTCAACAGGTATGCTCGAGGTGCCCATGAGAGCTGAATCACCTCGCCCCTCCATTCCTCCTGCGCAGTTCAAGCACAAAAAGGTGCCATCAAGCTAGGGCCCTGGCCAAGCGCCCAGTGTGGCAGGCGCTCAATATGTTGCTATCCGCAAGGTGGCGTGTGTAGCTGTCATCACTGAACAAACATGTTATGCCCACCAACGTTTTCCAAGCCACATTTGTTTGAGTTTGTCGTGCCAGTTGCAATAAATAACAGGTGTGATAGACAATAGGAACTACCAACTGCATCAGACAATGCTTGCTGTTTGTTTCAATTTCATAGCAGTGGACTGCTGAAACTGTATCACTGCTCAGCAAGGATTAAAAACTGTGAGGATTGTGCAAGGATCCACAATGCATTTTCGTATGTGACATAGCAGCAAGTTCTTGGCAGGCGCTGGCCTCCAGAGACAGAGGCTTCCTCCGACCCTGTGTGCCATTCAGGACACACCAACCAGCTATGATCTGCAAGTGAAAGTTCCTCCCTGGGCCTGCCAACCTGGGCAGCAAGCAGAGCCCAAGACGCCCCACCCACCAGCACCGCCGACACTGCCCCAGCAACACAGATTGCAAACATGCACCCACTTCTTGGGCACTTCCCCAAAGGCAAGCCCCAATACCCAAGAACCAGCCTCCCGTGCAAATCCCAAGATTCGTCCGTGCCGTTCGCGAGCGCCGCGATCGCCGAGAGTCTACGCATACCACCCTTCCACCGCCCATACTCACCCTCACTTCGCCGTACCCCACGACGCGCCCCATCACCTCCGTGCCTAGCTTGGCCGGCGCGGCGACGGCATCAGATCCCTCCCCCTGGGCCACCGCCGCAGCCCACAGCAGCAGGCACAGCCCGACGGTCGTCGCCCGCATCGCGGCGCCTCGGCCTGGGATTCCCACCCCTTCGATCGGATCGTCCGCCCTTCGCTTGCTGCCCAAGGCCGCGGCGCCCCCGGTTGTCGCTCCTGCGGCGCGAGGCGAGGATGCCCGGTGACGATGGAAGGGGCCAGCGTACGAGGCGGCTATCCGGTCCGGGGTACAGGCAGAGGCTGGCAGATTCCGCGGACAACGGGACGGAGTAGACAAACAGATCCCGTGGACGACGGGAGGGAGAAGGCGACTGGATTCCGTGGACGACGGGACGGAGAAGATGACTGGATTCCGCGGACGACGGGACGGACAAGGCAGCTAGATTCCGCGGACGACGGGACAGACGTCCCTGACCGATGACGAAGCGCCAGGGGCGGTGGCCGCAAGCGGAAAGGCTGGGGCAAAGGGGGCGAATCTGGGGTTGGGAAGATGGGGGAGCTGGCAAGGAGCTTTGCGGGCGACAAGGGGGTGAGCGGATCTGCCGTCGAGGATGGCGGACGAGGGGAGCGAGTCGAGCGTCCTCACCTGGGGACTGCGCCACAGGGCTGTCCGAAAGGGGCCAGCCGGGGGATGAAGGAGGGCGGGGACGTCTGGGGCGCGAGGAGGTGCGGGGAGTTGCGGGAGCGGCCCAAAACCGTGGCCGGCGTTTGGGAACGCCGCGCCCTTGCAGGGAACTTTCAACTTGTCACAGGGCGGGGGTGGTGAAGGAAGGGGGTGTGGCGAGGTACGGTTGAACATACGGTGTTGAACATACGGTGGGTTGGGATGGGGTCGGGGAACTTTTCAGGCGAAGGGATGGCCGTCGAAAGTCAACCAGGTGGATGTTGCTGGAGTCGAACACGTGCTGCATTTGCACGGCAAATTTGTGAAATCAGTGGCCACATACAACCATGCCTATCGCTCAAGAATGTGCTTATCGTTCAGGTCCAAAATTCACTGGAGCATGGTCTTGATGATTGCGTTTGGGAAAGCAAGCGTCTAGCAAGTGCCTATGCAAGCACATTTCAGAAAACCAAACAATGATGATATTCGTGGCTGCTGTAGCCCCTCGGCAAGTGCTAAACCCCAAGCCGTCCGCAGCACATCCCTGAACTTGCATGTAAGCAATAATAATCGCTTATAATTATAGCATCTATACGCAATAGTTGTATAAGCAATACTTCGTCTCGAAGGCATTTTTCGTGCACAGCTGCAAGCCGACGTGCTAATCCAAGGCCTGCGCTTTACCCTTGAGAGGAATGTCGTTTATAGAGAATTCAGACGCCTCAAACCTCTTCAAACCGACCTGTCCTGAGATCCTCAGGAAAACCATCAGATTGCTGCAAACAACCCAGATTAACATGGTTGACTGTTGTTGCTGCGCAAGCGTCCTCACGCCGAGCCGGTGGCTGCAAACTTGCCTCACATACCCCCAGCATCTTCAGTAGTAGTGGCAGGAGGTAAATCCGCATTTCTGAATTGGAATCCGATCATGACGACGCTCATCTGGTAATGGCCTGGGTATGCATGACCGGCAGCCCCTATGTGCAGTGGCTGAAACTGCGCTCAGCCACCTTTCCTGGACCGATACACGATGTATCGATACCCCGGGTAGATGCATGAACTCTCGACATGCATTTGGGTCAAATCGTTGGCGGATGCGCGCAGGGAACCGAGGCGCCCATTGTCGTCGGCAGCGCAAGTTGAAAATCGGCCAAAGCACTAGGAAAAAAGGACCAAGTGACACCTGTTCAAACGTGTACAAAGCTTACGGGCTTGCGTTATTTTCATGTTTTTGCATGTAGAACATTGATGGAATGCATTTCATAAGTGTTCGCAAGAATTGTTATTTGATCGTTTTTTGGCTAGTGAAGTACACGTTACGAGCCGTGTAAAAATCGTGTAAAATAGTGTCCAAAGGTTTAAAAGGCAGGACATCCACTCAACCATTACTACACGGTACGGTACCATATTTATACGATGAACACATGAATTTGCGCACTTTTCAATACTGTATATTTTGACCTGGTTTTGCTAGTGCAGTATATATTTCTAGACTACCAGACAGTGCTGGAAGTACTTGGAACTGGGTCGCATTTGATAACCCGGCGATGTCCTGCGTGGGTCGGTCACCCCGGCGTCAGAAAGGGTACCATTCGCAGGTCGAGCCCTACGACCACTCCCTGGGGCTCCTCCCCCTGTGAGCCCTGTATCGCTGAACGCTCCCCACAAGTTGCAATACGGTTTTGATCAAAACCGTGAATTTTGGCCAGTTTCAACTTTTGCAACTTGTGGGGAGCGTTCAGCGATACAAGATTTTCATGAAAATATTGTACCCTGTAAACCGTGTCAAATCATGTAAAAATATTGTTAAATCATTTATCTATCGCATGAAAATGCGACCAACCCGTGTGGTAACGTTACTAACGTTACTCAATTATTAACGATTGAGTTAGTGTATATGATTTTTACACGTTTTGACACGGTTTTACACAACATAACACGTTTCGAAACAGCGCGTTTTGGCCGATTTTTTACTTGTAGTGAGCACCTTCGCCACAACCATATGATAGTGCTTGCAGCCTTGCTGCCCGGTGCAAACCCCATAGTCGAAGACCACGCCGTACAACTAGTCGCCGCGCACCTCCCCTCTGAACTTCACTGCGCTAAAAGCCATCTCTTTGGAACGCGCCGGCCCCGCAAGCAGTGCAGTGAGCCGCAACGTCGCTTGCACTTGCAAAAACTGGACCAAATGGCACATTTTTCGAACACACACGAAATGCATTTATCAATGTTCTGCACGCTAAGAGCGCAAAAGCAACCCAAACCCGTAAACTTTGTACAGGTTTGAACACGTGTTATTTGGCCCTTCTTTTCTAGTGTTGTGTGTAGCTACACACCTGTAGGTCCGGACCTTCGCGCAGCTAATTTTGCAACTTGCGGCACCACCGGTGCCTGCGGTCCTATTGTCTCCGATTAATCGAAACGCAGTATTGCAAATCAGAACGTAACGTCAAAACGCAACATTGGGATGTCGTGAGGGGACGCCTCTGCAGCGGAGATGGCGACAGGACGGGATGCAGCTGCCATTCTGATGGGGTCCCCACGGATGCTCCGACCGGCCAACATGGGCGGCGGTGGTGGTCGAGGTCGCGATTCGGTTGAAAGCTGTTGCGTGGATCTCGGCACCGCGTTGTTGAGCCTTTGCGCCTTACCTCGCTTGCTCTCTCTGAGCACGGGTCGGCACTCTGCAGAGGAACAGCTGTTCCTGGGCGCACCGGTGCATATGCACGCGCGATGCCGGTCGTTGTACAACGTCACAGGACTTGCGAGGGCAGTGCGCGGAACGTTGAAGAATGCAAGCGGCAAGGGGGATACGGCGACGGACTCGGCCTGTGAGCATGCCGTATAACATTCAACACTTCCGCATCAGAATATTTTACCGTCACGCGTTTTGTTCTGCATTTTTTTGGAGCGCTATTTGTCTCTTTATGTGGCTGGGTCGAAATTCGATCAATTTTTCTCCAGAAAAAAAGGCCAAGCGTTAAGTTAGTATGCAGAAGAGTTTATAGTTTTTCGGTAATCTCAGCGCGTGATGAGTTACAGCCGTCGAGGAAGTGGGTTGATGGGGCGTCAGACCGTCGCCATTTTCATTACAGCCATCGGTTGACTGGCAACAGATAGCGGCACAATATTGCGCAATATTATGCGCATGCGTCTAGTTATTCTGGCCGAGTCTGAAATCTGCAGCGACGCTCTGTCCGGAAGCTGGGCGTTGGGCCGTGTGACGCACCTCAGCCCATCGAACCAATGGCATCAGCTGTGCCCAACATGTACATGGCCGTTTGGCGGTGGGCCTGCTGCACCATGTTCGTCGGAATCTTGGGAAGCCTTCACCGGCTCTTCAGCCGTCAGCCAGAAACGTCAACTCAACGTTGTGCCTGTATGCTCTAGATGCTCGCCAGGTGTGCAATAAGCCTCTGGCACCTCGGTGCGTCATTGGGTATCTTCCCGGAGATGCAGAATAACTTCGAATCTGTGATGTCATGTCATCTGATCGACCTCGAATGGGTTGGTTCACTCTGAGCATTGCCACGAAAGGCGATCCGTACAGCATGGACATGGCCGCTGGTTGTGGAGAATGATGACCATGGATCGCGTTTGCGGATGCAGACCTGGCGCTACGTTGGGGGAAGGCGGTTTGAAGTTGCGACCTGTGCGTGTTTCTGCCTTGCGTCGTGGATAGTCATTCTCCCTTATTACTTCTTCAATTACTTGAAAGCAAACATATTTGTTTATTTATTAACGAAGTACCATTTTAGCCATATCCGTATTTCTCAGATCAGAACGTGTTTTGAAACTTTCACTGCGGGGATACTGTGCAACTTGGCAATTCTGTCACAGTTCTGTGGACTTCTGCGGGCAGCCGGCGACTCGCTTAGTGCTTCATTTTTGTATGCAATTTACCTATGATCAGCCAATTCTGAGTGAAAGCTCGCAACGTCCGAGGCCTCGGATGTGCCAGGGGTATGGGCGGACGCTCCAATTCCCCGGACGTCCAGGGAATGCGCGGATAGTTTGGATGTGTCCGGGAAGCGCTCGGGCTGTTGAACAGCTCACGCGCAATGGCAACAGCTCCGAGGGGCCGGAAAATGGCACACGCCAGCGCGTCATTTGAGAGGGTGGCGATGTTGCGCATAGAACTGTCCCCTGCCAAATTGCCCCAATGCGCATGCGCCCGCGCTCTGGGGCGAACGAGGGGCCCGTCGGGGACGGGCGACGACGCGGGTTGATGAGAGGGACCGGCCAACGTCCAACAGAAACACGAGGAGAGAATCGCCACGCACAGGACCCCGCGCCCCCGTCGTGACTTGAGAAAGCACCGGGGTGATGAGGGCGTGACAAGATGAGCGCGGCTGACCACATGGCCCTGATGGAGGAGGCCAGCCCCGCGGAGGATGTTTCTTGGCAATGGATGGGACAGCGTGAGAGGGGCTGACGGTTTCTGCGTGCTTTGTGTGCAT